GGCTTTCTTTTAAATGGCGGGTGCCGGTGTTTCATATGGCATGTGTTCAGCCAATCAGAGTGCACTTACGTCACTGTAGGTCCTATTGTTCTGGGTTAGACCCTACTCTGAAGTTGGAGCTAATTTAGTTCCCCCAAAAAATGATCCTATAACTAAAATCATTCCCAGTTCTAGTAGTGCAAACACGCGAAATATCATATAGTTATAGGAACTATGAAAACGGTCCTCTAGTGCGAAAACCCCTAGAGAAGAACCTTTTTTGGTTCCACACAGAATCTTTCAGTGATCAGTTCTTAAAAGAACCATTTAGTTTTCTCTTAGTGTGAAGAACATGTTAACAATGTAAAGAACCTTTTTCCACTATTAAAGGGATAGTTCACTTTGGAATTAATTTTTGGTATGTTTTAGCTTACCTCAAGGGCATCCAAGATGTCGGTGTCTTTGTTTCCGCAGTAGTTTCAATTTTGATATATTTTTAGGTCAAACCGTTCTTGTCTGCCAGTCATATAATGCAGGTCTATGGTCACCACCTCAAAGAGCATGCACAGAGAAGTCCAAATTAAACATGATTTAATGACTCGTAAATGTAAGTACACATTGATGGCCTAAGACACGAAACGAGCGGTTTGTGTGAGAAAACGAACAGTATTTATATCGTTTTTACCTCTTGAAACCACAGCCACGTCCAAGTGATCTGATGGCGCGGCGCTTCGGTCTTTTCCGGAAAGCGCCGGAAGTGATCTCTCGCGCATGTACGTCACTCATACAATTGTTTTATTTTTATTTATTTTTAATTGTTTTCTTTTACGACGGTTTAAACATCCCGGATAAGCGCAAATTAGTACCATTTTAATTAGCCGTCTTACCTACAATCTCTGTTCTGTGTAAACAATGAGTGACGTACACGCGCGAGAGATCACTTCCGGCGCTTTCCGGAAAAGACCGAAGCGCCGGCGCCATCAGATCACTTGGACGTGCTGTGGTTACAAGAGGTAAAAACGATATAAATACTGTTCGTTTTCTCACACAAACCGCTCGTTTCGTGTCTTAGGCCATCAATGTGTACTTCCATTTACGAGTCATTAAATCATGTTTAATTTGGACTTCTCTGTGCATGCTCTTTGAGGAAGTGACCATAGACCTGCATTATATGACTGACAGACAAGAACGGTTTGACCTAAAAATATCAAAATTGAAACTACTGCGGAAACAAAGACACCTACATCTTGGATGCCCTTGAGGTAAGCTAAAACATACCAAAAATTTATTTCCTTTAAGAATCTTTTGTGGAATGGGAAGATTCCATGGATGTTAAAGATTCTTTATGGAATCATCGATGCCAATAAAGAACCTTGGTTTTTAAGAGTGTTAAAAACAACCCCACGCCATAATCCCCCCTCCACCAAACTTTAAACTTGGCACAATGCAGTCAGGCAAGAATTAAGAACATCTGATTACATTTTTTTCTTTTCTGCACTGTAAATTTAAATAAGTTGGCGGCGAAAAAAAATGAGGCAATCAGTTATATCAAAAAACAATTAAGTTAGGAAACTCAAAGTTTAAGTAAGTAGAACTGGCAGATTTTTATTTTGTACTCATACATTTTAATTGCTCTCAACTTAAAATATTTCACTTAAAATTATTATGTAATCTCAACTTAATTCCCAAACCAAGGTCAACATCTGTCGGTTTATGACCAACCAAAGTAGGGAAATTGCATTCAAGTGTAACAGAATAGTTTACAATCCAGATTTTGCCCAGAACGACAGTATCTTCAGGTCTCCAGCAAACCTCCCTCTCTGTATCCCCTGCACTTTTATTCTGCTTTGACCTGTTAATGCTGCTGATGTTCAACCAGAAAGACCCTCTGTAGATGTGAAAGATGTGAATTGTTGTTTATTATTTCCACTGTGTCGACTCACATTACTGTACAAAGAACCAGCAGATGGGTTTAAACTACACACGACATGTATTTGCTTATTGTTTTGATATAATGTATCATTAATTACATGAGGGCTCATGTGAGCTCTTTGAATACACCATATAGTTATTCTGCAGCTAGTCAACATATCAGCACAAGGACTGATATGAATATTACTCGCATCTATGAAGTCTTCAGGTCTCGACTCATTCAGACCAGCGTGTTTACCTGCTGTTTCAGCAAAAATAAAATATAATTAAAGACACTTACAGTTTAAAAAAAAGAAGCAAAAAAGTTTGTAAATATATGTATATATACTCATATCTTCCTGAGCGTTTCAACACACATATATAGTGGATTTTAAATGTTAATACTTTAAACTCTATGTAATTTATTTTTCCTGTGTTTGTTTTTGTCTGAGGGTTTGGTCAAAAGTACTTTGGTTTGATATATTCAACACTGTATATGATGTGATCTTTTTGCCCATGAAAATTATATTTGATGTTTATATATACAAGTTCATTATAATTCATGAATATGTCTACATTAAATAAAGAGCTTACATGAGCTGGGGTCTCTTCAATATATAATGTATATTTATTATATTTAAAAATCATAAATAATGTTTAGTTGTGTCCTGTAAACATTATGAAAATGTCAAACGAATTGGCTTTGACTCGACAATTGTCAACTCGACAATTATACAAATCTTTTACATATATATATATATATATATATATATATATATACATATGTGTGTGTGTGTGTATTTATATATATAAGGATTTGTATAATTGTCGAGTTTATAATATAGTGAATATAATACAGCTGCTCCAAAACTTATTTGGACACATTGCAATGACTTTCAAACGATGTTTATGAAATGCTGTGCTTTCAAAATGCTTGCAAAAACTGCTTTTGTCATTCTTTAAAAAAATTAAATTACACTTTCTTTGATATTTTGTTATACAATATACCCATGACTAAAGGAAAGGTTCTCTTGTTCATCAACCTCACTAATTTTTTGTTTGATTTTTAAAAACAAGCAAAAAAGTTTGTACATATATGTGATTCTCCTCTTAAGCGTTTCAATATACATGTATAAAGTGGATTTTTTTTTAAATACAAAAAAAAAAATAATGCTTAAAAATTATTATTATTATTAATACTATTATTTTATATTGCATTTTGTTTTTGTTTTGCAGTGTGTGCCGGTGTGAGAAAAGAAAGAAAATATTGAAATTCAGTTATACTTCTGAATTTCTGAAAGTTATTATTAATTTATAATCTTCTCCATAAAAATGGAGAAGATTATAAATCGAGGTTCCTCCTCGATTGAAATCTTGTTACAGGTGGTGAAATCGCGGGGGCCTCCCCGAAGCCGCGGGCCCTGAGAATCGTCACCAACTTTCTACCCCCTATAAAAGGTTTCCAAACCATAGACTGTAAAAAAGATGGACGACGTGTTTCCACTTCCTTCCACTGTAGAAAAATTAAGCCGAATATCCCAGAAAATGTCATTGCCCATTACGCCATTTTTAGCCCGTGTCTGCATATAGTAGTGATCCTGAGCTAGAGCCGCGGTATCAAAGTCCCGCCCACAGGGTACATTTACACCACAACGATGCACTAAATACGTAAACGTTTTTCTTTTGCATCTTTCATACAGACGGCAACGTTGTCAAAACGACAAAAAATGCTGTATTCATGCCAGGCCAGTAGATGGCAATGTCACTTTGTAAAGAAACACTCTGCGCGTGTAGACTAAACACTAGTTCGCATGACGTCACTGTTTTCACAAATTCACGTTTTTTTGTAGTTTACATGGAGGCGGCAACGGTATCGTTTTCAAAAACTTGCACTTTGAAACCTGTTTTCAAAAGTTTGTATTTTCAGCCCTCAAAGCGCAGTTGTTGTGTAAATGAACAGCCAAAACGCATACAAAGTTTTCCGTTTTTAGTTGTAAACGTTGTCATGTAAACGACCCCTCAATCGCAGGCACAGCTGTCCATCATGACATTACACCGCATTTTAACAGCATCAAATAACTAACTAAAACTAAGCTTATTGGAAAAACCAACACTTGAATATACGTCAGCGTGATGAGAACTGCCTAAAATGACGGGAAATGTTTATTTTAACATTCTGGTGCGACCGAAAAATGTTACGTTTTCTTTTTCTCTTTTTTTACTTCATTAGAATGGTACGAAACTTGGTAACTTGGTTTTGGCACTTTCTATGTGAACTCAGAAAAAATCATTGCATGATTCAAAAAGGTTAAATGGTCCTGAAAAAAATAGTCACACTTGTATTGTCCACTGTCAAAAATGAGCGCATTGGAAGGGAATGAGAGGAATTTCAACTTGTGGAAGCGTTCGGTACTGCGGCCAAACAACATCTCCCTGAAAACTAATTTTTTGAGATATTAACCTCAAATTTGGAACTCTGTTTAGATGTATGGCTTTGATTTTCTTGCAGTTTTAGAGTAAAACGTGTTTTCGAAAATATACATTTCATAACTATAGTATTTTGTGCAGTTTTCAATAACAATAAACATAAAATTCTGTAACTTTTTTCACTTCAGCAATAATCTGACGACTGTTGTCTTTGAAAAAAGACCAAACTTAAGTCTGTGCATTTACGATTTACCACAGTTTAGGTTGGAAAATTAATTTTCATGTCTATGCTCAAAAAGGTGAATAAACGGATTATACATTCGGACGTAAATATAATTTAGTTTAAAATCCCCTAAAAATACAAAATATGAATAAAAAAAAACATTATCAAGCTACATTCATTTCATTGAAATAAAATAATTCGGCCATATTTGACTGACATTCGAATAGCACCAGTGTAATTAGATTTTTTTTTTCGTTTGGTTACACGGAGAGGGCGGGGTTTATGGCCTATACTGCATCCAGCCACCAGGGGGCGATCGAAATGCTTTGCCTTCACTTTTCAGGACATGTTGGTCCAAACACTTTTTGGGGCTGCTGTAAATTTCACCCTTAAACTGAAATGATATTACACAACAAGAATCACTGCATTAATGCTCATTCATCTGCTTCTGCTTTTTCAGTAAATACAGTGAAAGAAAAAAAAAACAGAAAGAGTGAGAGATCTGAACTGAGCACTTCAGGACAGCAAGGACCATCATGAGAAAAGCAAAACCAGAGGAAAGAACGAAGAAAAGTGTGTGTCGTGTGCCAGTGGACAACATAAAGGACAAGAATATAAAAACAGTTTAGAAAGAAGAAGAAAACACATCCAGAAACATTTTATTTTTCTATATGTTAGCGTTCATAGATGGAACGGAGACGGACGGTAAACTGACACTGATGCGACTGTGCAGGGCCCCGCCCACAACACCATCCACCAATCAGAGGCCATGGGGGGAGGAGTCAAAACAAGCTGAAGGCTGCATGACAAATGTGTTTCCTGTGGGTGGAGTCGTCGTGCTCTCTGTGATTGGTCGCTTTGCAACACTTGTCACATGGGCGGCACTACTGTGTCACGGGCTCCAGCTCACGTCCTCATTGGTCATCCGTTCAAACGTTTCCTGTGGAGAGACTTCATCAGGCCAGGATTCGATTCGTCCCGTGTTTTGGGTGGAGCCTCTCGTTCACTTCCTGTGGCTGATGTCATAACTCTCCTGATTGGCCACGCTGCTGACCAACTTCCTGTGGTGTTCCTGGTTAGCACTGAAACTCAAGATGTCAACTACTGATCAATGTTGGAGTGAGAGGTGAGGGTGTGGGGGGGATGTCAGTTAAGAAGGGGCGGAGCAAAATCTCAAATTATGATTCATAATTCGATGCAACAATTTACATAAGAATGGTTTCACATTGATATTCGTTCTGTCGTTCATGTTTCATTTTAAAGACTACCTTATTTTACACTCTGAAAATGTTTTATCATGTAATGTAGGAACTTTAAATCATGATGCATTTAATTTGCCTTTTATTCACATTGTTTTATGCCTTTTATTTGCATTTATTGTGTGGCTTTTATTAGCATTTATTTTATTTGCATTTATTTGGATGCATCTCAGTATTTACACACGATAGGGCCACATTTATGAAACATGAACAGAATGGATTTCAATGTAACTCATTAGTAATATTTATGCAACGATTTATGCAAAACAATGAACACTAAAGCTTAAAGTGCGGCTCCGCCCCGGACAATCGTTCCCCCGGTTCGCGTCCCGTTGATCAGTGATTTCCGGTCTCTGAAACTCACCGGACTGAAGCGTGAGATTACCATGTTTACTCTTAAACCAGGCGACACACTTCCAGCCAAAATGAACCCGACCCGCGGATGCATCTAGTATTTACCTTAGGAAAACGAGAGAGAGAAGAAAAAGAAAAGTATTATTCATCGAATTATCATAGTGCTATATGACAAATATATCCACACGTTTATCTACTCCTTCATTAAATGCTTCCTTTGAATTATGTTTTACACAAACAGTGACTGTTAACCTGTTCTTTGGTCAGTTTTGTCAGCTGTATGAAGTGTTTTTTGGGGGGGAGGGGGGTGTCGGGGGAGGGGTGTAACCAACAGAGAGTTTTATTTGGGGAAATGGCTGGAATTTGTAAAGCAAATTTTCCCTTTCCACATGTTTTGAAGAATGTATTCCTATATGTCAAGAGTGTAACAGTAGCTGTACTTGTACATACCTATCACATATTTATTATGGGGGTGACGGGGGTTGAGAGCAGGGTGTGTGTGTATGTGTGCGTGTGTGTGTGTTATTTTAATCCAGTCATAATCAAACTATGCTTTATTTATTCAGCTTTTACTCTGATACATTTATATCCATTCACAATGACTTGTATTGTTTTTATATTGAACTATATTTGCAGCTCTAAATTCCCGTCAGAAACGGCACGTTTAGACATTAAATAAGGGGCGTTTACACGACACTTTTTACGCTTGTTTTTGGCCGTTCGTTTACACGACAACTGCGTTTTAGGGACTGAAAATGCAAACTATTGAAAACGGGTTTCAAAAGTACAAGTTTTGGAAAACGATACCATTATCGTAATTTATCGTGAACGTGAATTCGTGAAAACGGTGGCGTCATGCGTATACGAATTACCGCCCCGTTTACACAAATGGAAGACGCAGATATTGCCCTGCGGTTCGGCCTCTCGTTTGCACGAAAACCCCGTTTTTTATCACAGAAAACGATTCTTTCGTGCCAAAGCGGAGATTTCTGATAACGCCAGTCATGTGTTGCCGTGACAACTGGGAGAAACGGGGTTTTAGGTTCTCAAACGTCACATTATGCGCCAGAAAATTCTTAATGTCATGTGGCGTTTGGCATAGTTGTGATGGTGCTCGACGGCGTATTTATGTGGGTTGATGTAAATGACAACTTTTTTGAAAACAATGTTGTGTGAACGATGTTATTTTTGAAAACGGAGGACTGAAAAAATATTTGTTTCTCTAAATACCCGGCTATGTGTAAATGTGGCCTACGTGAGTGTTTCTTTACAAAGTGACATCGCCATCTACTGGCCTGGCATCAATAATACAGCGTTTTTAGTCGTTTTCACGGATCCGTGTGAACGGGGATCGTTTTGACAACGTTGACGTCTGTACGCGAAAAACGCGAAGGTTTCCATTTTCAATACATCGCTGTCGTGTAAATGACGTTATTTCGCCCCCTTATTCAGCACTTTTAGTTCAGCGTTTTTTGTGAGTTTTTAGAAATTTATTTATAGGTGCGTTTACATTTCTGCAAAACTTAGACATACACGTATCGAATAGGCACGCAGAATACTTTATATGCAAAGTGAAATCAGATGAATGTGTTGTGATTTGGTTTTATGACTTTTATCTGGTAAAAGAACTGTTTAAGGCGTTTACATTTATTGATTAATAAACAGTTTAGATCAGGGATTCCCCAACTCTTTTTGCCAGTCGCACCCCTTTGACCTAAAATATACTTGAGTTAATATTTCAATAATTCAACAACACAATCACGTGACATGCAGGTACGCTACGCAAATATTTCAGCTTTTTTTTAAGAAAGTGGTTTATTTATTTATTATTTATACGTTTTTTATGATTTATTTTGAGGTAGTATTATAGTTTTAATCAATGTTTTTGGATTACTTTTTATTTTTACACTTTTTTTATTTTAATTTTAGTAAAAGTTTTAGTAATTGTATTGTGTGTTGTCATTTTATTAGTCGTTGTTTTTTTATATATCTATAGTTTTTATTTAGTTCTACTTTATTTCAGTTAACATTTATTTTATTACAAGTAACGAAATTTTTTTATTATTATTTTATTTTAATATTATTTTAAAAATATATATATTTATCATACAATTTCTGTTTTTTATTTAGTCTTTTGATGATACTTTAACATTTTACCATATTTAAATGAATTCCATAGAATTCCACAGATTCCCCTTTAGAATCAGAATGAAGAATAAAGATTCCATCCGGATTTGCTTAAACTGGGAAGCTCACACACTTTTCATAGATCATATATTATAATTCTGAAGCATCTACACTCATATCTCACTGCACCTCATATGTGTATTATATGAAAAGGTCTGACCCAGCGTTAAGGAAGAAAGAGAGTACCTGTGTGTGCGAGAGAAGTGACCGAGAGAGCATCTGTCTGCTTTTACCGCGGTAAACGGTTGTTTTTCTATCTCTGCTGTAAATATCAGCCCTCTCTCCTCTATCCCTCCGTCCACCCCAGCAAAATCTTGTATTTTGTTCTAAAACGATAAGGTTTATTTGTAAGGATTTATAAAATCTATCTCTTTCTCATTTTTGTAAGCATTCAAACGATAAACTATCTTTGAAAAAAAAAAAAAGGTTTAAAGGTGAAACACTGAAAGATAAATGTATCTCTCTGAAGCCCTACAGATCTGTGACGCTATCAGTTCGTGTTTTCTTTCTCTTCTACTATCGCTACAAGCCTCAGATGAAAAAATCCTGTTTGTTATTCTGACATTATTATCATCATTATTATGACATCATATTTATTACTAAACCATTGATATGACCATCATTGTTATTATTACATAAATAAACTTGTCTACTTCAGCATTTGGTGGAGTTTATTTTGTCAGTATATTGTCTATAAATAGTAAATCATTTAATGTTTTAATAATTTCTTATATGTATAGAGCACAAATTCTGGAAACATGTCTTTATAATTCAATACATGAAAATATAGTTATATGTTATATTTTATAATTCTTTGCATAAAAATCTTAATTGTTTAGTAAGTTTTTCTACAGTTTATATATTGATTTATTTATACAGGGAATTTTTTTTAAAACAATTGCATACAATATTATAAAAATAACATTAGAATAACTTTTTAGTGGTATTAGAGTAAAAATATAATGAATATGTAATATATTGTAAAAAATTATCGTGATTTTAATCGTGAACAAGGTTTTCGTACTATATACGGTGAATAACAGTGATAGATCTAACCTTTCATTTAATGTAATTTTACAGTAAAATACAGTTTTTGGAAGTGAAAAAGTCAATTGTAAAATTTACAATGAAAAAATGTGAATTGATCGGTAAATTAACATTATATCAGATTATGAAATAGGTTTTTTTTTTACTGTAAATTTAACTTGAGTCTGTAAAATCTAAAATGTTGCTACCGTATTTTTTACGGTAAATTTCTGCCAACCACTGCTGACAGTTTTTTTTACCGTAAATGTTATAGAATTTGTTTTTTTACGGTGTAGGTTATACATGTGTGTGTGTGTGAATTGGAATCTTCACTCATAGAACTCTTGAGCCGAGCTGGACCTTCCACAGAGTTCCAGTGTTTCCAGGGCGATGGGGAAGTAGAGGAGAGCATTCGTCTTCCCGCTCCCCCCTCAGGACTGGGTAAGATGGAATGCACCTGTCCGTCTCCTAGGCAACCATTTACCTAAGAGAGGCGGAAAGGGCATCGATCTCGATGAATCAGGCCCTGCGGATACACACATGCCGTTACACTGAGACGTATAGACCTATAATGGACAATAAACAGAGGGTGCAGGAACTGTAAAACATCTCCACAGTCAGGCTTACGCCGCAAACTGATTTCAAGCATTTAAAGAATAAAATGCCTCGAAAATTGACGTCAAAGAAAATATCAGGGTGGACTTTTGAATCTCCAGTGATATTCAGCTGCACAGTCACGGGTTTAGTGATAGCTTAGAGAATATGTAGGCTACATAAATATGTATATGTGATGTAAATAAATGATGCTCTTAAGACCGTGGCTAGTTGTCCCACTTTCTATTTCCAAGGATTGTGTATTTTTGAAAGGCAGACAAGTGTTAAAAAGCTAATGGACATCTTAATTCCCAAACACACACACTGAACACGTGTCGACCCTATAGGGGCATGTTGTCACACCGTATGGATTTTATATGGATTTTTGACTAGCTACTGAGAATATGATTTAAGCACTTCTGACAACTAGAGTCTCCCCTTCATAAAATGATTTAAATGTTGCTTGTCAAAAAAAAAAAATTGATGTGATAGAACATAACCTGCTTATGTAAAAACTTAATGGCAAAGCCGACTGAGAACAAAAGCTATAGTCGGCTACAGGACATTAATTTACTGCACTGTAAACATTAAATTTACTGTCCAATGCTTTGTACTAATTCCATCCTAAATAGTATTCAAAATTAGAATTAGTGCGTCTCAAATCGTAGTATGTTGAAATAAGCACTCCAAAGATACCCGGATGGTAGCTTTTACAAAGTGCAGATCACCTGTGGTGAAGAGATGAGTCCCACCGTAGGACACAAGCAATCAGATTGGTTCAAAGCTCGTTTTATGGCTGCCTGGTTACAAATCAGACAAAGTCACTTTGTTATATAAATTCCTTGAACTACGTTATAACGACCATTAATGTCTTTTAACTTATATGTTTCATACTAGTATGTAACCGAAGCTATAGATTGTGAAATTAAACATTTATTGTTCTTAGTGTTTTTTTAAATTAGCTTTATACAATTCAATTACTATAGCCTACAATAGATGTCTGTCTTTCTGTGTGTAGGCCTACTGTGAAAAGCGCTAGCCTAGGCCTATACAAATAAATAAATTACTTGATGGGAGTTATCCCACTTAAGGTGGGACCATAGACAGTATAAGAAGTGGACAGAGCCATCTCATTGGAACTCAGTTGAGACAGTTGAAGCCCATTTTTAGCGATTTCTGAGCACTTCCGTTCCTGACGCGCAGACTCAAACCGACTCAAACTCAGCTTGATGACGTGAGCAACCTGTCTGACAGACGTGAATCTTCTAGTAGCTGTGCGTGAAAATTGCCAACGTTAATCTTGCAGAGACGGGGAACTTGAGCAAAGAGTTCTTTGGCGCGAGTGAGCAGGAGTAAGTATTCCGTTGCTTTTATGGACTCATTATCTATGTGCTTCTCCCTTGACGGGACGTCCCCCCGATTGCCTGCGAGCTTCTCCTCCTGTCTGTACGGTAATTTCTGTACAGCCCGACAGAGAGTCGAGTGGTTATGACGCAATCGTTAGCCTATTTTTACTAAATCTGTTTCTACGGGGCCATAATGTAACATAGAAGGTAATGGAGCCCTTTATACATTGTTGTGTTTCTTTAGAAATAAATAATGGACAAATGGAGTCTTTAAACGCCTCAGATGTAAAGTTATTCGCTGTCAAAGTGACGCCAAAATGAATGGGAGTCAATGGAAATGCTAACGCAAGTGAAGTTCTGCTACAAGATGGCGGCACCCGGCCGGCTTCAACTTCCGGTCGATGGATTACCCCCTTGGGTGGGACTCGTCTCTTCACCACAGCAGCTAAACACTCTAATGGCTAATATTGCCCACAACCCATTGCGCGTTTCGATTAGAACTACAAACACGAGTAAAACTTGTTAGAAAAACTACAAACATGGCGGATGTGCGAGTCCAGGGCAAGTAGAGATGTTTAGAAAAAGGGGTTTGAGTGATTATTTAGGCTATCAGTATCTAACCTGACGAAAATATATTTATTCCTGCCATGGTTATCAACATTAGGCTATATTTGATCTGCAAAAGCACTGTGAACTTGAATAAAGATACGTTAGTTCAATATTATCTTTTAAATGCATTATGTATACATATGAGGAGAGTGTCTGCAAGATCAATGTGCTACTACATTTCTCTCCGAAACGGTATGAAATTCAATTCAATTAAATAAAATGTGTGGACTTTAACTGGTGACAAGATGATTGACAGAGCAGTTTACGGTGACACTATGCACAGCAGCACACTAATGACTTAGTAGTACACTTGTCTACTCTTCTGATACACACTCAAAAGTATGTACTTTTTCTTCGCAAAAACAGTAGGCTACATACTTTTAGTTTTAGGGCATAGTAGGCAAAGTGTTAGGGCATAGTAGGCAATAGGCAGGCGAATTGGGACGTGGAGTGGAGATTTCAGAGCAGCTTTACTGACATCTTGTGGTTAAATTGTGAAACTGCCTCAACTTGAGCTGGATGTCTAGTGGAGTAGATGACCGTGTTCGAACATGTTGAACATCAATATAAATCATAATATCTGATGTATTTTCATCAGAAGAAATAAAGTTTGTCCAGATAATGCTGACAAAAAAAGCAGTGTGTACTTTTCAGCACTGGGTACTGTTCGGTATCGCACTGAATGATTATGCAATGTTAACTCCACCCTCGGTGTTACAATATATTCGGTTCGATGTGGTATATTTGTTACCACTGAGTGGCCCAACTAAAAATATTCATGAGTTTATGGGCGTGTCCTTGAGGCATCACGCAAAGGAATGGAGCTGAAAATATTAATGCACTCTCCTGAAATAGCAAGTTGTTTAATGGAATATTTATTTTGAAACGATAATAAAGTTTTAATGTTAATCATAAATGAGAGAATAACCTACGGTGCTAGGCTAGGCTACAATTTAATTTGACTTTTTGATGTGTTTGCCCTTTTTTTCTTTTTTCTTGAGGCTTTAAAATTAATTTGAATTGTTACTTACTTGTGCTACCTATAGTCACTCGGTGATAGTACCCAATATGATGAAGCTGCAGATCAGAGTGAGAACAATATGACTAAATAATAAATGTACAATAACTGCCTGATAAAATAAGCTCTGCTGGGATTATTCTGTTTTATCCTTAATTTCTTGCTCATTTTGTAGATAGTCCCACATGTAAGGCTCAAAGTAGCCAAAACCAAACTACAAATGTTTTCCTTTTTGTCTCAAATTATATATCATGACATGTAGCATTGTCATTATTATCAAGTCACAATAGCAAATTCACAATTAACTAAATGCTATACTCTTGAAGAAAAATATCCTTAATCTTGTAGTCATTATAAATAACATTGCAATGCATAATTGATTATTTACAAGTGCATAAACTTTTGATGAATGCTTTGTTCCGATGACACATTCTTCATATACATTTTTTTCTTCTCAGAATTGCGAGTTTATGTCTCCCAACTCTGACTTTTTTCCCCCTCATAACTGCAATATTGCGAGTTATAAAGTCAGAATTGAGTGATATAAACTCGCAATTACAAGTGAGAAAATATCAGAATTGTGAGCTGACTTCCCCCCTCACAATTAGACTTTATAATGCGCAATTGCGAGTTTATATCTCACAATTCTGAGCAAATAAGTAAGAATTACGAGAAGAAAAGTTGCATTAAACAAATTGCGATTGCAATAATATTTTCAGTTCGTTGACAAGCACACAACAGGGGAAATTAATGGATATTATTTACTCATGCGCCACCAGCGGAACCAAATATCTCAGGGGCCGAATATATTGTAACACCGGATGTGACTGTCCTATTCACTCCTTTCTGTCACCGTGACTGTCTCGGTGTCTCGACAAAAAAGAAAATAGCAATCAGCGATCCCGAAGAACAAAGAAGATCAGGGAGGATTTTAAAAAAAAAGGTTGTTTCTGAACAGACAACAGATCTTTGTGATTCTCTTGGCTGTTCATTTTTGAAACCGTAACCAGGAAGTGAAATAAAGGTTAGATTGCTGGAGCTCAAATAAAGAAAATGGATTCACGGTCTGTGGAAGAACTTTCTTGCGCTTTACACAGTGAGAAACTCGATTTCTTCTGTCTGGAGGACAAACAGCCTGCGTGTTTAATGTGCAGAGATTCACAGAAACACGACAATCACACATTCAGACTTATCAGTGAAGTGGTTCCGTCATACAAGGTAGGACAAACGTCTCGATTCATATGTAAAGAACAATACATAGTCAGATATCATCACACACATGCTTTCAGTTTTTCCTCTCTTGAGTCTTTATCATTTTACTCAACATATATATGAACATATGAGTGTATTCTGTATATATTGTTTTTGTTTTGTTGACTTCTAGAAGGAGCTCAGTTCCGCACTGAAATCCTCACGGATGAAGCTTAAACACAGCGAAGACATTAAAGAAAAGTGTGTGGAAACTCTTCAGCACATCAAGGTGAGGAAACAGAATCAAGGGTCAAATAATCAACAATCCCAACACAAAGATTATCACTGATGTACTACTACTAGTAAGAGTTTAACACACATACTCTATCTTTATTTTGCCTATCCACATTTTAGAATAATAGTAAAGTCATCGACTATGAAATAATACAAATGGAAGGATGGGAATGATTTAAGTTAGTGAGCAAAAAAAAAAAAGTCAAAATCATATAGTTAATCTTTTAAGTCACCCCCTTTTGCCTTGATAACAGCTCTGCTATCTCTGGACGGTCTCTCAAACATCTTCATGGTTTGTAAAGACATTCAAACCCTTTAGATAAAAAAAAAAAAATCATGCGAAAAATAAATTAATTGTGGCCAGACGTTTGGCTGGTGGTGTGGTGAATGTGATGTGTGTTGATTTAGATGATTGAAGGAATTGTGATTTGATTTCAGTCCCAAGCTGAGCGCACGGAGCGGCAGATTAAACAGGAGTTTAAGAAGCTTCATCGTTATCTCAGAGATGAAGAAGAAGCTACAATCAATGCACTGAGGGAGGAAGAGGAGCAGAAGAACCAGATGATGAAGGAGAAGCTGGAGGAGATGGAGAGACACATCTCAGATCTTTCACACACAATCCAAGACATGGAAGAGATGATGACAGCCAATGATATCTGCTTTTTAAAGGTCTTATTTCAGATCATTGATGGATTGATTGTTTGATTGATTTGATTAATTGATTTTTGATGATAAATTGTGTGTTTGTTCTGCAGAAGTTTCCAGTCCCAATGGAAAGGTGAGTGATCTGCTCCTGTCTCTGGTTCTGAACTGAAACAAACACACACACACACACACGCACACACCCTATTCACACCTTACAAATGTTTGTTTTTTTGCCACAGATTTTTCATGCTTAAAAAACATATCCTGTTAATTTATTCAATATGTTTTCATGTCATATTCATTTTAGTTAATTGTACTTTAAATTGCCACATTTTAGTCGAACAAAAATAAAATTTTAGTTACCAAACGTAACATCTGTATAACTAAACATTTTCAAAAATGTATATACATGTATTAATCCTCTACCAATATATATCAATATGAACAATATGTGAAAGTGCACCAAACTATCCTTGTAAATTGTTAAAGTCCCCCTGTAATCAATAATTGTATCCCTTAAAACTCATCTTTGATCACAAATGGCATATTTAAACGTTTTTTCTTCATGCCTTAAAATAGCTTGAATGTAACTCTTCTCCCTTGCCTCATTTAGTATGCACGGTTCTATGAATATGCAAATGAGCCCCGCCTCCACTCACTCAGCTCAGAGATCCACTGGTTAACGATCACACGTTGATCTGATTGGTTACAAGGTAGTTTGTGACGTCAGAAACACCAGCGATTTCAAACCGTGTTTTTGAGACTTTCTTTGATTCACTGCAGTTTTAAGGAGAAAATACTCAGCAATGCTGTCGACTTATGAATTTGCACATGGTTTGTCTTAAACCATATTAAAAACACCACATAGACATATAAACAACATTAAAAACTTGATTTTCACCACATGGGGACTTTAACAAAATCTATTATACACTTTAATATTCAGCCTGTAGGCAGCAATCTTGAGCAGCACATAATAATATGAGAGAAATCCTTCGCTAAACAAAACTGAGCTTCTGGCTAAAATAGACTTCTACTGATAACAATTCAGATTATGTATGCTGAATTATCTATTTTTCAGAAATTACTGTGTGGAGAATTCTTCTTCCTTTTAAGATTATGTTTCCGTATTTCCTTTTGATTTCGGTTCACTCGACATTGCGTCAGACTCTAAGAAACTCTTTTCACAGAGACACACTGAAGCCTCCATTTCACTGGAAACGGTCAATGGCGTTTAAGCGTGTGAAATAGCGCCGCACCGCTGGGCGACATTGCCTTTTCTCATATTTCTCCTTCATAAGAACATCTTCAAGAAACCTCACCGTGATTCATCGCCTTTAGCAGTTGACAATTCTGCGCCGAACCCCATTGCATTTCAGCGAAGACATGGAAAACCTACCGTGCCTTGCTCCGCCAATTCGAGACTCATTGAGCTTCTGGACGGCCACGACAGATGCGTCTCTCTCGCATTCTTGCTGCTCTTCTGTGCAGTGCTCCTCAACTACTCGACTACTCACCTCACGGAGCCAGAGTTGAAAGAGTCAGTTTGCTCACAGACCGCCCCCGCTTCAATGACATTGTAATGTGTGCAGAGCCCAATATTAGCCTGTCAAGATGCCATGGAGATTGTGCATCTCACAGAGAGCAAGTCTGGGTTTTACAGATTCTTGACCTGACGACTGAATCACACTCTAGCAAAATGCTCATTCAAATTATTTAATTGAAACTGATCCTCTTGCATGTTCTCCCTGGTTACTGGGTCATATTGCTGGATCTGAAAAGATGCATATTTCCATATTCAGTGCCAGTTCAAGGTTCTTCCCTTCGTCTATCGTTAATACATGAACTCAATCCTCTCCCCTCTTTGATTGAGTGTAGTGCGTGTCCTACAGCCACAAGTGTATGATCATCAACCACCTTCAGTGCTTGTGTTTTTCGGTCAACACAGAAAAAGCCAGCCTTACCTCACCTGTGGGCATTTCTTTCCTGGGAGTGAGTCTCATTTCCATTTACATGCAAGCCCACTTCTTAGCAATGTGCTCGCAGGCCATAATGAATTCACTCACAATGTTAAAAAAAAAACTCTGGCTGATGGCTGCAGCCACGCCAGTATGTTGGCCGTGTCCTGTTTCTTGGTTGACACATGGGCATGCAGCGCATCCTAGTGACTTGTAAATGCCTGGATGCTAAAGCCCCTTGTAAAGACATAATTATTTATGAACAGGATGTAACGATAGGAAAGGTCGTTAAACTGTCCTGACGGATGCATCAAGCACGTGCTGGGGAGCCCTTTCCAATGGCAGGTCGACTTTCGATGTCTGGGCGAACACGGAGAGCATGGCACATATAGTGTCTAGAAATCAGAGCAGTTCAACTGGCTCTTGGGTGCTTTTACAATCAAGTTTGTCACCATCATGTTCTCGTACGCTCAGACAATATGGCAGTGGTTGCTTACATAAATCCTCAATGAGGGATCAAATCGCATCCACTGCTGAAGGTCGACATCCTCTGCTTAGTGGCAACCACTCCTCTTGTTTCGACCACCAAAACACTTGAACATCTGATCAAACATAAGTCTTCAACATATGTCTGAATGTAAGAACACAAGTCTTCACATCAACCTCAGACTCACAAAGCAGTTAATTGACTTCAAGTCATGTTGCCTACTCCAGGAAACGAAAAGCCTCCACTTAAGGTCATACAACCATCTCATAGAAGGGGATCTAGAGGTAAAGATGGTGTCGATAATCTCAGCCGAAAGGCCAGAACACATCTATGTGCCCCGTTCAGAGGCCACACCCACAAATTCCACAAATCTGGATGAGTGTGCCAAATCAGGCTTTGGGCCTGAGACGGCAGGTCCGGCCTGAGGGGAATCTTCCATGGAGGGCTCACTAACAGACTGACCAGATCTGCATGGGACAAACATCTAAGAAAAGTTTTCTGCTGACTTTCTGCTGGTGGTTTACTTGTAGTCCAAGACTCCTCACATTTAGAATCTGGACGCCCTGAAGCTGCAACAGGGTCAGAGGCGTGTCCATACAATTTGAAAAAGTTTGAGGAGCCAGTGCCAGTCAGAATGGATGAACCCGAGGTTGGTAAGCTTTGCCCCCGAAGGCTAACCTGAGGAACTTCCTGTGCGTCTTCACGATCTGAATGTGAAAATACGAATCCTTCAAATCGATAGTCATGAACCAATCTCTAGCTCTGATCTGAGATGAAATGGACTTGGACTTCAACTTCAGTATCTTGAATTTCCTCACTCTGAACAAGAGATTCAGAAGACGCAAGAAATCCCAAATCAGATGCAAACCACCGTTCTTTTGTGGGCCCAGAAAATGTTGGTTATAGAACCCTGACTCCATCTGGGAGGGTGGTACTTCTATAGCCCCTTTCTTAAGAAGCGATAAAATCTCTTGAGATCTTCCCAAGAGCGCCATTGTGGGAAGAACCCCGCTGAAAGGAGGCGGAGTTCACCTCTTTTCAGCAATTTTCTCTTTTTGAAATTGGATAGTGTAATGATGCTGAACAGTATGCTGTACCCAGTACAGTTGCCACGCCACCAAATAATCTGCCAGGGGCATTAACTGTCCTTTGCCTGGACAAAACCCTGCAGGACTGGTCCTCTGGCATTTCTCGTCTGAATCTGCAGGCGCCAAGGCATCCTTCCACTGCAGAAAGTCAGTGGTGTCTGTGCAAATAGGAAGGACATGTGGATTGACCACTCTTGTAATTTTTAACTGACTGCAGGGCACCAAAACACCTCGGTGGTAGAAGACCCCTCTAAAACAGGGAGCAATCCGATCGGGCAAACCAACCGCAACAGCGGGGTCTTTGGATGCTGTCATAAATGGGCTGTGCAAGGCCTGCGCTGTCTCGAGCAAACCACTGGGTGAGAGCTAGGGCCCCAATCTTTACGAGGGGGCTCTATAGGTAATGGTTCACTCTGCTGCCCATCATAAGGGCGCTGTGGAGAACTCGAGTGCGAACAAGCTCTTTGTGTTCGCACTTATCCACCACAGTAGTGACAGCTTCCCCAAACAGGCCGCCTTGTGACAGGGGAGCATCTAAAAGGAAGGTTAATGGCGCTCGACTGCCACCATTCCCGCCATGGAACGCCCCATTGCTCGGGCAGTAGGCTTGGTAGCCCTAAGCACCAAGTCAGTAGCCCACCTGAGGTCCTTAACTCCCTCAGCAGTTAAGCCATCACCCTCATTCAGCTCCTTACACACATTCTCTTATGGCGCTTTTCCACTGCATTGTAAGGCTCACTTTTGGGGGATTTGGGGGACCTAGTTCCTGGTACTTTTTATAGTACCACCTTGGTTTAGGTTCCAAGTGTGCCGTACTGATACTAAAATGTGACATGTAAACACTGCAGATCACTGATTGGTTAGAGAGAATCTTCATCACTACTGCAGTATCATTTGTCCGCACAACGTTTTTAAACAACTTGCTATAAACGACCGTCGTACACCACTTGAAAAAAGAAATGGCTGTATCGTGATTAGTAGACGAGGTGGCGGTGCAAATATAATGATTATTCTATAATCCCACCCACTTTGAAGTGGTGCTAAACTGCAGTGGAAAAGTAAAGCTAGCCGAGCCGTCTCATGCGGAGTCGTACCACGCAGTGGATAACCGCCTTTAGTAGGTCTAGAGCACGGCCATCGTAGGGAGGGCCGCTCCTGCCTGACCAGTGGCAATGCACGATTTTCCTACTAATGTGGAAGTGACCCTACATGGCTCATCACCACCCCAAGCTCACAGCTCGTGCTGCACCTCAGCAACCGCAGAACTGGGACAGCGGGGGTTGAACAAATGCCCTTATTCCTCCATAGAAAGTAAGCTTAGAGCACAACACCTTCAAACGCAAACCATCACAATGGCGACAGGCCGTTTAGCGCTGCTTGAGCGTGCTGAAGACCCAGGCATTGCATGCACCTGTCATGTTGTTTCCTATGATGAATCTGCCACACGAATCAACATATTTTCGGAAACTCATCGTGGCTGCTTCAGAGGAAGGGTGACTGCCCTAATGCCGGGGACACATTTAACGACTAGCTGAAAAATCATAAGACTGAACTGAACACACTTACAGACTGGAGCAGATTTTAAACACCAACTGGACATAACTGTCGGCGTGTTTGGGCATGATCAGTTGTAAGTATCAAATGAAAGTGTGTCCCAGGCTTAAAATAGAAAGCTGAGAACACAAGAAAAGCTTTCTGACAGGCAACAGATACAACGCTTCCTAAAGGAAGAAAAATCTGAAGTGAGATGACGCAAGCACACTCCTATGAGGCGTACGTGACCCATTCATTAGAGGCGGTGTAAGCACCACTGGCCAATTAACTAGTGTGATGGTATAGGGCTTTCAGACAATTGTCACACCGTGGGTGTTCCCACAGTGTCAGCGACGCAGCGTTGAGTGAACCTATGAAAGGGAACTTTACGCCCCTCTAGTGCCAGTAATCATAAAATGCAGATTAATGTCATTTTGTTCCCCACAAGAGGTCAGCAGAGACGCTCGATGACTGAATGCATGATGTATTATTGGTTTTAACTAGAATTGGACTGGAATGAGTTTTTTTTCCCCATTTTTGTGAAACAATATAAAAAATAATAATTGAAATTGAAATTTAGAGTTAAATAAAATAAAAATCACCAAAAAATATTAAAAAAACTTTTATTATTATAAAAGTAATTAAATATTTAAAAATATTTTATTATAATAGACTGGTACAAGATTTCTGGACCAAGCACCCCCCCCACCTCCAACCTACATTTTTGCTCTAAGAGTATTTCACAAAGCATTGTAGTGCTAAAACCAGCTCTTAAATCTATGAAACATTAGGAGTAATCAAGAGGACTGCTAAGTCCCTAAGACAAAATCACAAACAATCCTAATGGCTGTTGCAAGCAATCCACCCAAACACACTGTGCACCATTGAGGCAATAGTACCTTGTGTGCTAAACCTTTTCTTCATAAATGCAATATATATTTTGATTTGTAGATTTTGATTTACGATAGAATGTCATAAATTTAATGAACAAATAACGTCCGATTACCCGTGGCAGTTGATTTCACGAGTTCACACTTGATCGAATTTGTCGCTTGACAAATGATTTGTCGCTTGAATTCTGCAATCTCTCAAGATGCAGAGATGTAAGAGGCTGACAATTAGCTGAACATTTACTAGTTTGATTTGAGACACTTAGCCTACATTTTAAAACCTTTATTTGAATATGGCATCGTGATACCTCGTTCTACAATATTTATATCACTGAAAGACTCCTCCCCCATCAGCCAATCACTGTGCGTATATTTAGTAAGCGTGCTGACATCATCCATAGTAATGAGGTCAACCCCGTCCTTACTCTAAGCTTAAGAGTTCTTTCTATTCCTTTGTAAAAGTTGGTCTCAGCAGCTTTGTGAATACTTTTACTGCCATTTAGAAGAACTCTTATTGGTAAGGTAAAATGTTTTGTGAATACGGCCCCTGATTCCTGACTGTTCTTCCAGAGACCAGAGTTCAGAGCCGGATCCACAGATTGCTTCTGGATCTTTGATTCATGTGCCACATTACTTGGGAAACCTGCCATTCAGAGTGTGGAAGAAGATGCAGGACATCGTCCAAAACAGTGAGTCTGGAGAAGATCTGTGCTGTTACACACACACACACTGGAAATCACACATGGGGGAGATTAACAGATTTAAAGATAATCTGTACGGTTCACTCTTGATCATTATTTGAACATCATAATAAAAGCACCTTTTTAATTGTCTCATCAGCTCCTGTGATTCTGGATCCAAACACGGCTCATCCATGTCTCATCCTCTCTGATGATCTGACTAGAGTGAAACAGGGTGGGAACAAACAACTGCTTCCTGATAATCCAGAGAGATTTGACCTTTTTCCTTGTGTTCTGGGTTCAGAGGGTTTTAACTCAGGAACGCACTGCTGGGATGTGGAGGTTAAAAAGAGTTCACGTTGGAGACTTGGAATAACTACAGCATCAAACCAGAGGAAGGGAGGTGATTTCTTTAACACTGATGTCTGGAGTGTGCAGTACGGACTGGTTGAAGAGTCTGGTTATCTTGTTAAACAGAAGCTTGATCGTGTGAGAGTTGATCTGGACTATGACAGAGGAATGGTGTCATTTTCTGATCCTGTATCTAACACATATCTACACTCAATCACAACCACCTTCAATGAGACAGTCTATCCGTTCTTTTATAGTTTTTTCCCTCTGAGGATCTTATCGTCAGATAGTCAGTAAACGTCACCTCTGGCTGTAGGTTTGGATCGACCTGCTTTTATCTTTTACAGTCATCATGTTTCCAGTATTTAATCCATATAACATGAGTAAGAGTGCTGTTGATCTGAATATCAGTACGGCTGTGATTGGGCCGCAGGTGATCACATGACTGATATCCTGCACTACAGCAACACTGACAATGTCATATTGCTTTTATACAAAAGATCAATAGACAAGAAGTTAATATCAAGTAACTTTCTGACAGAATATGACCAGATATTTTGTTCTAAATAAAGCAGGATAAAACAAAACATGAGTCCTGCCTACAACAACTGAGATGAATGAATTAAATACACCAAAACCATACAAGTCCAAACAAGCTGCGAATGCTCTGCATACCAAAGCCATTCTTGGACTTGCTCATTAATATTACCACTATAAATGTCTATAACTTCCCTTGTTTAAGGTGTACCATAAAGCTAACACGATTGAATTTTTGTAATGCGTATGTAACTGTTGGGTGAGCGGATCCACAGCAGTTTTGCCGCCTACGCTCTGTGTATCGTCATTGTACCGCGTTCTCATTGGTTTTCTGGCATATGCGCAGGGAAAGCTGTCCGTGAATTGCTTTTTTTCCCAAGAGAAAAAAATGTGCTGCTGCTGCCAGAGCTCAATCAATGAAAATCACATTATATTTGATACAAAACTAACTAGACTAAATCAAATGAAAAAAACAGTCATAACTGAAACTATTTTCATAGCATTTCATTTTCTCCATAGGGAAATTAATTTCTTACAAAAACGTATAAACCGTTAAAGACAGACCTCTACCGTAACTATCCGAGGTTGTTAATCGACAGTATGCGTTTGTTAGAGTCATCGATTTGTATTATTTCAACTTATTTTTTAATGAATGCTTATTTTTATTTATTATTCTCATATATTTATAATAGGGTACTTGTATTTACTATATTATACTTATTATTATTAATTCTCAAGTTTAAAAAAAATGTGTCTGGCATACATTTAAATTGACAACTGGCATTGTGTTTCTTATTTGTTCAGATAGCGTCCTAAGCCGATGCCATTTAATGGTTTCTGCGACATTAATGGCACCTAGCGGAAATACAAAAATACAGCATATTTTGCTAACGCTCCTTTTATGCGCCACGCCTCCCCAACACAACCATCTCAATCCCAGCCCTTACGGTGCTTGTGAAGGCATGTCTCAGGTAAATGTAGGCTATTTCAATAAAAGATCCAACATATTAGGAATACTTTTAGCTGTGTTGCTATGTGTCATGAGAGTTAGCAATTGAGTAGCTAACACTGTCTAGAGCGAACACGAGCGTCTCGCTCATTATACCCATCCAATGTGTCTGAACCAAGCACGTTTTTTGGACTTAAAAAAAAAAAAATTTAGTCACAAAAGCTCTTCAATTCCACCAACAAAAACATTACAGTACATACTCATTGACAACAATTGACTCTTTAAACCACTTTCTTATATGCGTGGCGTTTTGCTTGATAAACGTTGTTGCATATCACCGCCAAAATTAGGTTTTGAGATTGTGTGCAATGCGCAGGTGTGCAAAGGAATTACGTATGACATAAACCTACGGTACTGTATGTAATTTTAATAAACACAACTACTTCTAACACAAAAATATAAATAATGAGATGTCTGCCTGCAGGAGACTTGCCATTGGCTGTTGTATTTGAATAGTTAATAAGGCAGGTCTATGCAAGAGGTGCTGTTTTGGGGATGTTTTTAATAGTCATTTATAAATATTTGTTAAGTTCTGTTTTGTGTAATGGATGCAGTAATGCGTTAAATATGAATTTTCTGTTAAAAGATAATGTGTTATTTAAATATACCGTTGTAGAGATTAGTGTTCCTGTGAGCTAAAGGCTGTTGAATCTCATTTCAGTGAAGGGTGTCTGATTCAAACTCCTGCAGAAACAACTTCACTTACTTTACATCAAAACAGAATCAGGAATTATACGATATTGTCGTTGTTATTAGACATTTAATTTTTTTCTGACACTGAGCCTTAAATTTCCCCTTATAAAACACACTTTTAGCATGACTGTCCAATTTAGACCCGTTTAGCGAGTACATTACCTTTAAAAACACGAGTAGCAATCAACATCGTTTCCTAGATGTTGCGATGTCTATTTTTACAGAGGAAAATGTCACGAGAAACAGCCTTGGTCGAATATTATATCAGAATTAAATTAGAAAGAAGGTAGGTCTATTCTTTAATGAATTCATCTCATTATAATGATCGGGTGATGGTGCTAAGCACCATGATCATTGTCTTAACTGCTTGAACAGGAGTTAAAGATACTACAAATAAATACAATACATACAAAAATAGATGCAAAACTGTACACTGATGTTTTTATTCTTGATAGGAGTTTTTAATGGTTTATAATTAGTTTAATGATTATGTTCTTAAATTAGGTTAATCATGGAAAACCATAGTTTTATGGCATTGATATGAGATCAATTAAACTACAAAGGTGTCACGGAGGAATGTACAGTGTAATTCCAAACTAAAGTTACTATGACTGTTATTTATTTCTAAAGTAAGCTACAAGTAGGATAAAAAGTGAGTGATTTTAGACACCGCAAGAGTCGTTTCCTATGTTGGAGTCCACTAGAATACTTCAATAGCTGTTTCCATCTAAAATTGCGAATTTAACTTATGCGCAAAATTGAAATATCGCAAAAAACATTTGTAAATAAAGCACCATTTCCATCCAGTGAGTCGAAGAGAACAAAATCGTCACTTTCTGATAAACTGGCGCTAAATATTACCAAGAAAAGTAGGAGAAGCCACTGTATATAATAATTTTCGTATAAAATAAATTACTTGTGCCTAAACGCAGTCCTGTTATCTTGCTTTCGGAGGCGGATGCCTGCTGTGTGGGAATGCAGTCATGTGAAGGCCCTGATATACTTCAAGCGAAATCGTAGAACGAACTTATGTGACGTAATTTCGAACAAAATCAGGCCAAAATGAACTTCGTTTGACGTTCGTTTTGGGAGTTCGAAACACTTTCAGGAAAAGTTTGCTACGGCTGGTGAACACCTTTGTGCTGCCATTGGTCTGTGGCGATGATGTAATAGGTGGGTGTGGCTCTGAGGCTCCGCCTTCTTTGATGTAGAAATCTTCTCCATTTAATTTCTCTTGTTCAGTCCGTCGAGGTCAGACGTCTGCGAGTGAAAACATGAACACACTGGAGAGATGCTTTATAGTAGAAAATGAAGTTAATTCTGTAATGAAACAACACTGACACTGTTTTTCATGTTTAATACTGTAAAGCTGCTTGATTTGAAGCAATCTATTGTATAAAGTGCTGTATAAATAAACGTGACGTGACTTTACTAGTGTCGAATTGCAGAGCTCGTGCAAACTTAACCACTTTGACAACAGACTTTGCTTTGGCATTTCGGTCCGCTGGTTGGGCCAGTTATGCCGTCCCACCGCGCAAAGTCACCATTACTTTTTTGATGCGCATCGAGGAAAAATTATTCGGAAAATGAATTTCCATCGTAGTTTATGCGCATGTTTTCTTATCAGATAAAAAAAAAAAAAACATCTCAATTAAGAGCATACGTTTTTTTTAATGTGCATTTTTTTAATTTATGCGCATCTTGCTGTTTCTATCCAGCGGGTTTTTTATGCGATGTCCCAAAATGCACATAAAAATTTGTGGATGGAAACATAGCTACTGATCAAGCTATAGAAATGGTGTTTTATTCTTTCAATAGTAAGCTCACTGAATGACCATATGAATAAGGGGGCGCTGCCCCCCAAAACCCCCATTGGTGATGAGCCTGCAGTGTTTATTTCCTTTATTAGTTTGTTTCTTTATTTGTGAAAAATACTATAATAGGTGAGTATTTGTTTCTGATGCTCACGTCCGGTGTATAGAGGGTGTAAATGTGTAAATAAATGTGTAAAACTTAATACCAACCTAAAGTAAATGGGATTTAGTGACGCTTATAGTCAAGACAGAAATTAAATGTGGTGGTGGGGTTCATCTTATCCCTTTACCATGGTAGTCTTAAATGGAGCACTAATGTTTTTTATTACACAAAAATAAAATAAAAAGTTTTTTATTACTCCAGTTGAAGGAAAAGCATAAAAAGCATATCTCTGCTTTTGTGTTATTTTGTTGTGTTATTTTGTTCAGAAGCAAGTGGGTGGTTAAAATATTCTCTAATTATGTAATTAACTTTAAATTTAAGACTTGAGCACCAGAACTGTCTCTTTCCATCACTTGTATAATAATATTGATCAGCTGAAAATATGGCCTTTTGTGTTGAGTAGATTTCACAATTGTAAACGGTTCTGTTTTAAAATTATATTTCTGTTGTGTGAGAGAATTTGCTGTTGATATATTCATTGTTTATTTCTAGAGTGGAATTTAAAGGTGCTGTATGTAATTTTTTGGACTGTACTAAATCATGTGCTATATGTATGCAGAGTTTTAGGAAACATGCTAAGTTCGAATACTTGTTTTTTTTTTTTCTGAAAAACAATGATATTCTTTGAAATGTGCTTTCCGTGTCAGAATGTCTGTTTTTGTTTTAGTCCGTGTGGCCCCGCCCACTGCCGGTTTACCCAATAGTATTCCGTCACCCGGGTTGCCAGTTAATGGAAAAACACAGTTGCAAACATGGAAGCCAGTGAACGAACTGTCTCAGAGAATGCAGAATCTACCCGACCTAAAAAGCCTTGGCATCCATCTAAAAAACTGTATGACTAGATGAAAATTAAAACCAGGATAAATTAAGTCATCAACTTGCAGTGTAAGGCTCCTTGTGTTCCATTGTCAATTGCGCCCATTCCTGTTGCGTATCTTCAATCTGGCAACCAGTGTGAGCGTCGAGCCTGAGGAGGGGGCGGGAGAGACAACTCTACAATTTGGTAATAATATTAGCAAAGACTTTAGATATAAAGTGCCTATATAAAATCATCATACCCCTTTAAAATAGTTATTTTATTTGTCATACAGCCTAAAATCAAAACCCATTCCAAAAAAATAACAAATTTCATACTTTATATACAAATTCCGCCTTACAACATCAAACTAATGAAAGAAAAGGCAACCGTTCTGAAAATTCATTAAAAAAAAACATGAAAATAACAGGGTTGGAAAAGTCATCAGTCCCCTGATTCAATACTACGTAGAGCCACCTTTTGCTTTAATTACAGACAATCTTTTTGGATATTT